TTCCCCACCCAAACCATGTATATTGTAAAGTGAAACATGTGAAGTGTATTTAGGGCCAGTCTGCTGTCCTATTAGCTGGCAAAACCAAGAAGGACAAATTTACACTTACAGACCATAAATACACACAAGGCCATGGAAACCACCTCTTGGTGTAGATGTAAGGGGAAATTGGGATTCAGCTGACATATTTTTGCAATGTTTGCAGGATGGCATTTGCCAGTGTAAACCTGACTTGCAAAGATACAGTGTCTTTCACTATGAATGGTTTATTTTTGCTATAAATGGCCCCTTTATTAGAAATGATCTCCCTTTACCTTTTAATCTTGGACTATTTGAACTAGCCAACCAAATTTTCCGTTCTGTAATGCATTACTGCAGATGAAGAAAATAAAAATAGGCAAATATTATAATTCCAGGAATACTGGAATATTATTCCTTCTAATGAACTAGTTCCTTTTAAAACGTGCAGAGATTTTCAATATTGGTACATATAAGGTTGTGCTTTAAAGCTCAAGTGCAGAAACTCTGTGCTTACACTTCTAAACTTGGAAAAGAATCAAATTTCTTTTAAAGCTTAATCTGGCATGAAATAAAGATAGAAACAAGACCACGTGGGAGATATTTGCTGGTCAACCTCATAGTCAACACAGGAAGAAAAATAGGAAGCCCTATTCACTGGAAAAACTAGATGCTCCAGGTGCCTTCAGCTGCTTGTCTTGCTGTATGGACATTGCCTTTTCTTTCAGGAAACCTTGGCAAGAAAGGAGATCTGGCTTGCAGAAGCATAAATAGACTCTAAATTACCCTAAATAGAATGCTTGATTATGACATAGAACAATTCTCTCCTTATCAAAATGTTAAATCCTTCATGCCCTCACCTACTTCATGTTAGCAGCAACGTAATAAATGAAAAAGTGGATAATACAGGAAATATGATCATCTCAGAGTCTGAATTTCTCATCTCTCGCACCAAGGAAATAACTGTCAGTTCTGTGGCTGCAAAGAATCATGCAGGTAGGAATGTAAAGTCTAAAATAACTTGTATGTAATTCTGCTTTTCTTTTTTCATATAGATTTATTAGTAACCTGTACAGTTCTCTGCACTGGACTCTCCCTTTTCAGAGTGGTGAAAGCAGTAAGTAAAGTTGTGGGCATGTAACCTCTTAAAAAAATGTTGCTAGTCATTAATGCGAATTGTCACGTACACATTTTTCAGCATTCAGATGGAAAATATTGGTTCAGGCTCAGTTTTCCCAGTATATACTTTTTAAGGTGTTTGGGGAAGATATATTTTCTGAAAAAAGAAAAAAAAATACTGTAGAACAAAAAAGCATAACTAGATATAGAAAACAGAAGAATAGTTGCTTGGGATCTCACCAGGATTAAGTATTATACTAACCATGTTTCAAAATGTCATTTCTTGTTTGACAAAAGGAATGTCAGAGACTACACTGCTTCTGAACTACTGTTGTGTGAGTTCAAAGAGGAACTATTAAGCCCTGGATCTGTGCCTGAGCTTTTTATTTCTGGTACTATCAAAGGGTGTGATCATTAATCCCAGTTAAACAAGAAGTCAGCATGTTCCACAGAATCAAAGGATGAGCCAGGATTCAGGAGAGAGATGTCCTGCTCCTGCTTCTGTTGATGAGGTGTTATGTCACTTATGAAGCTCCTGTTGGCTGAGCTTCTCCTTCTTTTTGCTCAACAATTTAATATTAGCTTGGCAACCATAACTATGCCTGTCTGTAGATTTTTCAGTGTGTTTAGCCAATGTAGCAAACATCACAGGCAATGCATTGTTACAGAATAAGAGTGCATTTATATGTATTACAGTTATATATTTAACATCTTTTCATTGTAAATTCAATTATTGGGAGCTTCTACACAAACTTAAACAATTTTACGTTTGCTTACATCATTCAAGGAGATCAAATCCCACTGATCTTGGACAAATCTTAGCTCATGCCACTATCTCCATCTGATTGTTTCAGCCCTTTTCTTTGAAGCTGGCTCCATAACGAAATGAGTTGGTTTGTGCAGAGGTCAATATGCGCATCCATCTTTATCCATTTTTGTAAGGTCAATATCCACATTTGTCATTGGAGTTTAATGTGAGGGCTCAGTCCCATGCTCCATTTCCTTGTGGAGAAGCAAACTCCTTTGTTACTTACATACCTCACCATTAAAGAAGTCCCAGGAATCTTCAGTGGAATCTAATTGATCAGTGAATCTAATTGATTCTCTAATCTATGCCTGAGAGATACTAAGGAAGAAACAGGATATTTGCACAAAAAGTACTCAGCAGAAATATGGGAATAAAGAAATGTCAATTAATCAGTAAGGATTTACCTGCTATGCCTAATTTTGAAGAGGGATATGGAAAGAATTGAAAGGTTAAAAGGAAGGGCAAAAAATATATGGCAAAGCCATGAAAAGTATTTATTGCAAGACAGGAACTCACAGGTCTGATAAAGTTGCCCCTCATAAGCATGAAATTCTAGAACAGACATCCCACAGGAAGGTTACTGCAGGAAAGGACTTAATAGAGACCATGAATGAATGAAATACTGTATTTCAAGGACTAAGGGAATGAACCCAGTCTCCTAGGACTGTTTGGTTCATTTCCAAAATATAAGACTCCTTTTTAAGAAGAATATGAATTTCCAGTCAGATGGACCAGAACAGATGATGATTTAGGGTAATGTTTGTTTTTTCCCCATGTGGTTGAACAATGATTCAAAGGAATCTGCATTAATAGAAGCAGCTGGTGTGTGTTTTAGAAGTGAGTAGATTATAAAACTTAACAACTTAATAAAGCCAGTTGGCTATGGGAGATGGGTATGCATATACAACATGATACCTCATTTGACTAAAATGCATGTTAAAAATTTTGGAGTTTTCTCTTAGTACTGATGTCAGGTGCTCAATATATGAAAAATGTCTGCTTGGGTTTTTTTCCTCAATAAACTGTATCATGTGGTAATTTGGGTAGTTTGATACTGCAGAAAGAAATCTGTGTTTCTTCTCTGCTCTTGAAAAAATCCAACCCAGTAAACTCTACTTCTTTTGCCCTATTTTCTTTTCACCTTGCATGCAGCTCATGAACCAGTACTCTCTTGCTTCATTAATGAAGTTTCATCTCAGTCCTTCTTTTTTCATCTCACACTCGCACTGATGATAATTTCTGCTCCCCTGTCAGTGCTGCACAGGAATCACAGGTACTGCTGCTGAGTTGGGGATCACTGAGCTCCACTGAGCACAATGAGCTCCACATTGAGATCAAACCTTATGGATCAACAGTACAGGATCAAGATGTTATCACCTTGGGATACCAGAATTCAGGGAGGTCTGGTCACTGTCTTTAAGTGGACTAGGATGGTAAGCAAAGGGCACTTCTTACCATTTTAGCAATGCTATTTTACTGCCTCTGTTACGTTTTCTGATTGCTGTCAGGGATTGCAGACTGTCAGTACTACATTCCCATTTCCCTTCCTGTCACTGATGCAAGTTTTTGGGCCACTGCCTAGAAGAGATCTCTATGACAGAGGTCCCTTCTGTCCTTTTTTCCCCTACCAGAATGAATATTCTCTAGTTCCATACACGGCTGTTTTCAAAGGAGAATGAAGAGTTCTTTCATAACCTTGAACTGAGGCATCTTCATCTTGGGGAGAGAATTTCCTCAAACCTTCTATTTTTGAATAATTTGCAGTAGGAATTGATGCCACACTTCTTCCTTTAGGACAGAAAGGGCAGAAGTGGGCTCCCTTCCTTATTCAGTGGCTTCCTTATCCTCATTGAGAGTTTTCATTCCTCCACAGAAGGGACACAGTGCTCAGTAGCGAGGAGTAAACACAGAATCACAGAACAGCCGATGTTGGAAGGAACTTCTGGACATCATCTTGTCCAAATCAACTGCTCAAGCAGGGCTGCCCACAAGGACTGTGTTCACATTAATTCCTTCATGTATGGAGACTCCTCAACCTCCTGGGGCAACCTGTGCCAGGGCTTACTCATTCTCACAGTTAAAATTGTTTTCTGATGTTCAAAAAAACCCTCCCATGTTTCAATTTGTGCCCCTCACCACTGGTCTTGTTACTGGGCCCCACTGAAAAGAGCCTGGCTCCACTCCCTTTGCATTTTCCCTTTGGGTATTTGTACACATTCATGAGATCCCATTGAGCCTGCCCTTCTCTAAGCTGAACAGTCCCAGCTCTCTCACCCTTTCCTCATAGGAGAGATGGTCCAGCACCTTAACCATGGTCATGACCATTTGTTGGACTCTCTCCAGTATGTTCATGTCTCTCTGTACTGGAGCAGCCCAGATCTGAACCCAACAGCCCAGCTGTGTCCTCATCAGTGCTGAGCAGAGGGGCAGGATCACCTCCCTTGACTTATTGGAATTGCTTTGCCTAATGCAGCCCAAGGTATCGTTCACCTTCTCTGCATCAAGGGCACACTGCTCGCTCGTGTCTTACCTGATGCCCACCAGGACCCCCAGTGGGTGGGACCCTTCCACCCAATGCCAAACTGCATTCCAGTCAGGTAGTGCCCCACCTGTCCCGGCGCCCGGATTGTTCCTCCCTAGTGGCCGGGCTTTGCCCTTCGCCTTTTTAAAGCCGCTCTCCCGGCGTGTCCCCGGGTGCTAAGAGCGCCTGTGCCCGGCTGGAGGGGCAGCGGGAGCTGTGGAGACACGCACCCACCCGGGCTAGGGGAGCAGCCTGCGGAGGACGGCGAGGAAGGCGCAGGGAGGCTCAGGAGCAGCGTCCCGCCGGGCACGCCCGCTGCCACCTCACCTCTGGCTCTCCGTGCCGCGCCGCTGGGACAGCGAGCGGCTCCCGGCGCTGCCCCGGCCCTGCCCCGGCCCCGGCGCTGCCCCGGCCCGGCCCCGGCGCTGCCGCCACCCGCGGGCGGGGGCGGAGGGCGGGGGGAGGTCCGGGCGCGGAGCCGAGCGCCGCCAGCCCGGCTCGCCCCGCACACGCTCGCACTCCGCGCCGCCCGCCCATGGCTGACAGGAGCCTGATCGAGGGCGCCGAGCCCCTGCCGCGCCGCGAGGAGCCTCCGGAGTGGGGCTATGAGGAAGGTGAGGAGCGGGCGGCGGCTCCGCCGGGGAGAAAGTTTGTCCGCTGCCGGGGGAAGAGGAGGCGGTGCGGGGATTTCAGTGGCGGGGTACAGCGGGGCTCGCTCCCCGGCCGTCCCGAGGCGCCGGGAGCGGGGAAGCGCCGTCCCGCAGCGGGTCCATCGCCGCCGGCGGGAGGGCAGCGCGGAGCCGCGGGGTCCGGCCGAGCAGCCCCTTCCCCGGCCGGGGACAGCGTCTGTGTGACCCGCAGCGCGGGGTGCCGGGTGCCCCCTGACCGCTTTTCCCTTGTGCCTCAGGAGTGGAGTGGGGGCTGATTTTCCCCGATGCTAACGGGGAGTACCAGTCGCCCATTAACTTGAACTCAAGAGAAGCTAAATACGACCCCTCGCTCCTGGAAGTGCGTTTGTCACCGAACTACGTGGTGTGTCGTGACTGCGAGGTGATCAACGACGGGCATTCCATTCAGATTGCCCTGAAGTCAAAATCAGGTATGCTGAAACATGGCCTTGATTTTCCCGGCTAAAGCTTGTGTTGCCTGAAGAGTCACTGCACTCGTGTCCCGGAGTGTAGGAAAAGCAGCCTTTCCCAGCTGGGAGCAGTTGTGCCCATTCCGCATGGACTATGCCCGGTGAGAGTGTTGCTGTTGACTTTGGTAGGAAGAGGAGCAAGTGTTGCAATGGGAGTTGCAGATTTTTATGCCAGTCTGGATGGTCAGTGAGATTGCTTCAAAGCATGTCCAAAACTTCCTCTTGTGGTGGTGGTATCCAATCCACTAGTATTAACAACTGTCTGTACTCAGAAGCAGTACAGACTATTGCTAAGACAGTGTAGTGCCAAACTGTTCTGTACAGCTGGCAAGATTTGTTCATGGTTCAAAGACCATGTAAGTCAAAAGTGCTTTCTCCCATTAACTTAAGTGGGTTCTGAATACTACCTATAGAATTGGACAGCTTAAGATCGATACACCGGTTATACGTGCTCACGATATTGATGAGGACCAAGTAGAAGGCAGTCCTCATTTCTTAAAGGATCACATTTTTGGTGTCACTCATCAAATTCGATGTAGAAGAAAATAATAATTCCAACGTAAGTGAAGTTGCAATATCTTATCCAGACCTTTTGTCTGGGTAAACTGTTCTGTATGAAGGAGGCAAGAAAGTAGGGAGGAAAAAAAGTCCACTTTGCTTTCCAGCACTGCAATAGTTCTTGCCATGTTTTTGGAAGAGCCTCCATGTTATTCCAACCAATCTTAGCTAGTAACAGCCCTTTGGGGGCATTTAAACAGCTGGACATTGTCAAACCATGAGACATTCCAACTTCTGTTTCCTTCTGAGAACTCAGTAGTACTGGGAACTACAGCTGTGCTTAAGTGAGGGAGTCAGTTCAGTTTTACACAGTTTTTTAAAAAGGAAGGGTTTGTTATCTTAATAATGATGCTTTGATTTATAATTTCATTTCTGTGATAATTTCCATGTATTTTTGCAACACAGAACGTTTCATTCCATGGAATTTTGCAGATTTGCAATAAAAGAGAAATTTTGTTTAACTGCCTTCATCAGAAGCAGAGCTCTTTTCCCAAGGGATAAAGTTCTCCCTGCAGGATCAGGAGTTCTTGAATTCTCCTGTGGAGAAAATGAGAGTGACCACAAGTGACCTCATAATTCGTATGCCAAAATGCAACTCCTTCCATGCTACCTTTCCCAAGGGCAGTTTCTAACTTAGTAGTGATTAATAAGATGGAACCAACACACCTAAATGCCTTTGCAAAACCATTAAGAGAATTAGAAAAAAGGAAAGACTTCTGTTATACTTGAATGCAATGTGATGCCAGACAGATGAGTCTTGAATTATAAGAAAATGTGAAATAGAGAAAAAGTTTATGACTGAAGTATGGATTTACAATTTAGGAACTCTTGGTTTAGTTTCAGCTTTTTCTTAAATTTAATGTTACGTAATTTGCCATTTTTCCTTTGTAAACTGGGAATAGTTTGGGAGGGAGAGGACAACATTTATTAAACCTACCAAGAGGAGAAAAGAGTTAATAAGTTGTGATTGAACCTGGCCTAGTATTCTGGCCATTTTTCAGGGATTGCAGAAACTCCTGCAGTTTCTTTTCCTCACAGGAGATCTCTGATGACAAATCCATTCAAACGATTATTTTGTTGGGAACTATTGAGCACTGGATGCTTTTGAAACTCTGTCCAATTAATGTGCAAGAGATCCTCATGTGCTGTAATGTTAGCAAAGAAAAAGTTCTTTATGGAGGAAAGTAAACTGATTAAGATACATATTAAAAATAAATTTGTCATTACTTGTGAATGTTTTTATCCTTTAATTCAAGACATGCAGTCCATATGGAGTTCCCAAATCCTTCTCATTATTTAATTGCAAACATTTTCACAGCTGCTTGCATTTTGATAGTGGAATGTGTGTTGTGCATTAGGTAGAAGAACCATGACCAACTATGAAATAGTTTTATCATGGGATCAGTCTCTTAACTGAAGCCTTGGAAATAAACTCTTTGAAGCTCCTGGAGATCCAGAACTACGTCATATAGAGAACATTTGTTCTAGTTACAATTTTTCTCAGAGCAATGTTTTAAAACAGAGAAAATACTCAATTTTCCTAATTGAGATGATGATGATTACATTGTCCTAATTAAGCACTAACTGAGTATCATTATTCTTTTTGTTTGTCCAGATTTGTTAAATACTTCAATTGGTTGTTTCCTTGAGTGTTCACCAAATTTGTAGATTTTCCCTCTAGGGGATATAGCTACAGACAGAATATAGATAAAGCAAGGTTAAGAAGCAAATCTGAATCTGTAACTATATTTAGGACATTTCAGTTTAGAAAGTCTAATGACTGTTAGATTAGTTGTGAAGAATTATTAAAGGAGGATTAATTGGAATATTTGACTTTTTTTCCTCTAGTGTAATTTCTTATGAAAACCTTAATTTATCTGTTTTCTTTCATTTTTTTTTACAGTTTCATACCTTTGGTTTTGTGTTTGTACAATTATAATATGATTCAATTTCTAACTTATGTTTTAGTATTACACCACCTCTTGTGCTCCAAGCTCAGGTGGTATAGTTTGTGTGTCAAAATAGCTATATATTATGGAACTAATTCCCTAAGGCTATATTTCATGCAGTTAAATAATCCTTATCAATTATCAGAGATTGTAAAAGATTATTTTCAAGTCTATGAAATGTAAGCTAGAATTTAATTGGTTCTGGGGAAGACTGTGAATGCCCTTAAATAAAACTCAGCTCTGCCTAGAAGCCAATATTCAATGATTTTCGTGGGAAGTTACCTCCAGCTTGTGGTGTAATATTTGATCTAAAGCAGATTCAGAAGTCCCTGGGCAAAATGTTTCCATTGATTAATTCCATAGAAGGTTGGGCCTCACAATTCCTTGCTTTTACTACTTGTGGTGGAAATCTCTATTAATGCAAAAGTACTGAGCAGCTATATACATTTTTTTGTGCATGTGTTGTGATTGTGGACAGATCCTTTTAAGAAATTCCAGATGTTTAAAAAACTGAAGTAAGAAAAACCCATGGCTGCCTAGAAGCTGTTTTTAAGTAAATGAGGTATGCTGGTTTTCTCCAGTGTGTAGGATTGATTATATTTCGATGTGGAGGCGTTCAGTGTCTCAGAAGCCTGACAGGTGGTATATGAGTGAACGCCTTTACCCAGCAAAATATTTGCTATCTAAAGTTTTCTATCCATTTTTGTGACCCATAGTAAACATAGGTGATGGAAATTAAACATTTGGACAACTTGGAGGTTACTTCCCAGTTCAATTCAGAACCCGTGCCATCTGTTTAGAACACACATTAATGTCTTGATAAGACAAATAAACATTCCCTCTTCTGACTGGTAGAGGTACAATGCTTTTATTTGGTGTTCTGCATCATAAAACAAAGAGTTCAGTATGACAGCACTTTTACTGTTTTTCATAACTGCCTCAATTCATGTTCTGTACCTGCAAGGTTCTTCAGAAGTAAAGGTGACAAGTCTGTCAGTTTAACTCTTCTCCTCTCTGGTACCACTAATAATATAAAAGATTGCCACAGACTCCCTGTTGTCTGTGGAGAATATATTCAGTGGCTTGTCTGCTTTGAAAGGCAAGTTCTTTACCACTTATGTTCTTTCCCAGTGTTAATAGGGGGGCCATTACCTCGGGGACACGAGTTTGAACTGCACGATGTTCGGTTTCACTGGGGCAGAGAAAACCAGCGTGGTTCTGAGCACACAGTTAATTTTAAGGCCTTTCCCATGGAGGTAAGAGTGCTCTGCATTGTATAACACCCGTGAAATGCAAAAGATTTTATTTCATTGCCTGAATTCTTGATAGCCCAAAAGCAACTTCCTTTTAGCTCTGCATGCTTTATAGCTCAACCACAAAGCTGTCTTCCTGGGGTGTGCTTTAGTGCAGGTAGATTAGGATATGCATCTGGAATAGAATGCCTCCAGCACTCATCACACTGTATGATTAATTGGTCGTAAAGTTAACTTGCAGAATTATTAACTTCTTTCTTATTAGTGTTCTAACAAGATCTGCCATTTCAACACTTCCTATGTCACCTTGACTAATAGCTATAGATGGGGAGAACTAGCCACTGGAAATATTTCCATGGTGAGTAATAACAATTTAGGTCGATTTGGAGTAAGTGTAGAGCAATTTGTTCATGAAACAGCTTTACATACTTGAAAATTGAAGATTATGTGATAGTGCTCTGTATGTTCTCCAAGATCTGAAAACGTACAAGATTTTGAAATAAAAGCAAACTGATAATGCAGTCTTAAAAAATTCAGCTCCTCGTGGGGTTCATGTCATAGGCAACACAAAATTCTTGGTCCTGTTTCTCCTGCCCTCCAAAAGTGGTTTGTTTTCACTTCCCACTGTCCCATTGCTTACAGCTGTCAAGGAATGGCTTGGAGTATTCCTTAGCTCCTGGGCTGCAAGACTACTTTTAAAATATACAAACCCTGATGTTTGGTGATTTCAGCTTTGTATTTTTTATCTTTTATTTCATTTGTTGTGCACTATTTGTTTTAAAGAAAATCAAGATTTTTTGGAGTTCTTTAATTTATTTTTGCCTTATTTATCTATCATAATCCCTCATGAGTCTGAAACTGTTTCTTTTATTCACTGCGCTCAGTGCTAGGAAATTTATTATTGTAATGTTCATGAGTGCCTGACTACTGGAATAGAGCTGTCTTATGGAAAAGAATATAAAAATATTGAAGAATATTAAAACAACTACTGCAGAAATAAGTGTAAAAATCTTGTGGACTTACATCATCCATCTAGTTCTTAGGGTTGTTTCTTTAAGAGTTGTGAGTCAGATTTTGGTCTCTGCTATTTGCTATTTTGAACTGGTCAATCACAACCTCCCATATATAAACTTAATCATTTGGAGTTTTCAGGTTGAATTGAGTCAGATCATAGAATCATTTATGTTGGAGAAGGCCTTTGTGATCAACAAGTCCAATCATAAACCTAATACTGCCAAAGTTCTCCCCTAAACCATGTCCCTAAGTACCACATCTACGTGGAGGTCCCCTCTGCAGGTTGATTCCAGGCAGGTCTTGGAAATTCAAAATTGTTTGAATGGATAAGACTCATCAACCAAAGGGAAAACAAGGCATGACTTCTGCATCCTGATTAGCTGGCACAATAGACACAGTGATTTATATGGGCAGTAAGACCTTCAGGATACTGCAGTGTTCCCCTGAGGCAGGAAGTAGCCAATTCATTATAAAATAGCTCTGCTTAGTGCTTTTCTTCAAGGCTGGTCCAGTATCTGGTGATTGAGAAATACTCATATGAACTATGCTGAGAACTCTACTTGGGAATCTATCAGGGTTTCCTGTCTCTTTGTTAATTAAAGATCACTTTCAAACAGTCTTGGTGGTATGTGGGAACAGTTTATTGAGAATCTGCAGAAAACCTAGAGTTATCTACTCTAGATCAGTCCAGAGAAAAATATGCTTGACCCAGAGATATAAAACAACAAACTTAATAAGTCATGAAGGGATTTCATTCTTCACCTACTTTAAAAGCAGTACAGCAGCTGCACAAACAGAGTTCTGGCACAGTTGAAGAACATCACCTGGAGGTGAGCAAGCCAGAGTTTTTCTGTTTCCTGCATCTAAGCAGCTTTCAACTAAATTCTAACTTCCAAGAAATAATTACTGATGCAAAAATTCTATAGCTAATACACTTTAAGTACGGTGTGAATGTTTCATTTTGTGAGCAGATAAATTCTTATGGCAGAAAATGGCCAGTTCATCATCATCTGCCCCAAGCTGAAAGAAAGTGCAGGGCAGTTTTTTGACAGATGAACTGCATTTCCTTCTGCAATATGCACAAAGAGCTGTTATATTAATTCCCTCTCAAATTGTCCAAGTCAAATATTATACTTGAGCAATAATAAAATGGGTGCTTGTGGCCACCGTAATGTTTAGGTAGCACACTTGGGACTTCAGAATGGAAGATTTGCTGTTTTGCATTCCAGGCATAGCCTTGTCTTTTTTTTTTTAAACAATAGCTCAATAGCTTTGATCACGGACCAGGAAATCTTATTTTCTTAGCTTTTTACTTTGGCATTGGTTTATACAGTTGTTGGAAATCATTAAATTCTGAAATTCTGAATTTGCCTTGATTTCCACTGGGTTTCACAGATTGACAGAATATCCTGTCTTGGAAGGGGCCCACATGGATCATCCAGTCCAGCTCTTAAGTAAATGGCCCATGTGGGGATTGATCCCACAATCTTGGTGTTATAGGTACCATGCTCTAATCAGCTGAACTGAGTTTGTTGGTTATTGAGCATAAACAGCAATTGATGCCTATTTTGGCTACATTCAAGCAGTCTGCTGTGGTTTATGCTTTTGTACAAAATAAGCCTGCAGTTGCTTGTGCATCAGTGCATGCCTAGGAATATGTTGTGCACCAAGTGCATAAGTTTGGGTCTTTTTCAAGTGTAGCAAATCTAGTAGGTCATCTTCCTAAGGAACTAGAAATTATCTCCATGGCAAATGATAGGGATTCTCTTCTCTTTGTGAGAGGAAAACAAGGAGATAAGAGGTAATATGAAAATGGAAGTGCCTGGTTTAAGTGGGTACATTAACAACACAACAGGTTGGCCTAGATTGCACACTCTACTACTCTCTTTTAAAACCTGAATGGAGCAGTTCTAAAAAAAATCAGCTTTTAGTTTGATGAGATCTGAGATGACTATCTGAGACTAAGTATTGACTGGAGCAGCAGTCTGGTTTTTTTTAGGGCTGAAGAGTATACAGCTTTATTTTAATACACTGGACAAAATAGTTGTGAAACAGCTTCAGATTACCATGTAATGACCTTTGTAAAAGAGTTTGAAAAAGAGTGTAATTTTTCAAAGTTTGGAAGGCCAATCTTCAATTACTTCCTTACTCTCTTCCTCTTGGTACCATAATTTCTATAAAAGAAGTTAGGCAATGTCCTGTATTATTTGGGTAATATCCCATGTTTCTCAGTGCAAAAATCCATTACTTCTTACTACACAGCCGGGGCCTTTGCATGTGGTTAGGATATATAGTTTCATGGTGAAGTTGGGTAGATCACAAAGCTTGTGTAACCTCTGGAACAGCTTCTTGAGCTAATACATATTGTCCAAAAATGTTGTTCATGTGGCTTGGAGGCTGAGTTCTTTTTTTTTTTTATTCTTATATAAGGTTCAGCAAAGATGTGTTTTCCACCTTCCTTGACTGAAGAAACCAGAATGTCGACAGTGATATGACAGTGTTTTCATTTTCACTGAAAAATCTGTGTTTGCAATAAGTCAGGAGAAGCAGGACAAACAAAAATATTTGTCAAAAGTAAACACGGTAACACCTCTTCTTAAACCAAGGAAAAGCAGAGGGTTGCATATACCAATACTCCTCCTTTTTTTTTCATGAAAAAAAGAGCATGAAGACTGCTCTTCCTTTGGGCAGGAATCAGAAGGAAACATTTGTGCAACTTTCTCTAGAAATTCTTCTCACCAACTACTTCTACTTTGTGTAAAAGATTGCTACTTTGCCTTTTGGCCAAAGATGTGTTTGCCATGACATATGCTACATGTTGAGTAAGGGTCTTCACATTGAGACACTGTTTCATGCTAGCAAATGGAACAGGGTACCAAATATCTGTGCCTTAAAGTACAAATTTCCACAAAGCAGTGAAATCCACATTTACACACATTTACCTGAAGCTGTTAGACATGTAGGAAGGAGAGGAGCTATTTGGCATCTTTATTCCTCTCCTTGATACCAAGAGTGTGGGTTGGAGAAGGAGCAAAAGCAAATGAATTACTAATGAAACTGACTCTTTCCCTTACCTCTGATGTATGACAGGGAGATAGAAGAGGATGGCAATTGCAAATTGCTGCTATTTATTTTTGTTAACAAAGTGAAATGGGAGCAGCTAAAAATGAGTTCCCATTGTATCTGATCTCTGTATGAACACAGCATATTATAGTGCTAGGCTGAATGAATTTACAGTCAAAAGAGAAATGAAATCCAGCAGGAGAAAGTAAATCACATGATAACATCAATGCAGGTTTATGGGAAAAAAATGTTTTCACTACTTCTGAAATGAAGAGAAACAGGGAAAAATATAAGGGGGCCTGAAAGTTGTCTCTTCCTGTTAGTTAGTCAAATGGTGGTGTGACCAAAGGCACAAACTGACCATAAAGGCACAGTTGTTTCCAGGCTTCTGCTCTGAAATAAAACTGTATCAGGGAAAATAAAAAGGTTCCTTTCACCACTTGCAATATAACTAGGATAATTCCCTGTAATCCATCCTCTTTAAAATGTAGGATTACATTAGCTGCGAACCATGTGAAAGCTCTCAGTAGAAGTGCGTTGGCAGAAAATAATTTAAAAAATGTTTCCAAGATGTGCAGGAAGATTAAAAACTATTATTGTTCGTTCTACATTTTTTCAGTAGAACAGAGGAAAATACAGTTGCTGCAAGGACCAAAATCAGTTCTGGACAGGAATAAAAACTATTCCTTTCTGTTGGATAACAAAATGCAAACTAATTAATTCTGTAAACCCTTCCAGAGTAACTGAAATACCTGCTGCAATGAAGCTAACAGTGCAAAACATATATCCTAACCTCAATTTGATTTAAACCATAATGTTTTCCTTTGCTAACAAGAAATGGTGCCTGAAGTACTCATCTAACACAATTAAAGCTTTAGGGCTTCAGGTGAAGCTGTTAACATTACACTTACCTACTAAAGCCTTTA